TGTACGAATAATTATATAACTGCATTTATTCTGTTTGTATTTTAAGAACATATGATATTTTGTCCGACTGTTTGCTGTCTGATTATATTTCTCATTGTGCTTATCTTAGCTGCTTAGGTTCAGTGGAAATGATATATCCCGACTTCGTTTTCATTTATGAGTGCCTGTAATATTTTTTAGTTCTAGCCATTATAATTGGTAGAATAAATATCTTAGGAGCTATTCGTTGTCAGTTCTTTAAAATTTAACACTTCTATATGCAATCTTAATTTGTCTTACCTGGAGCCATTTTTGATAGAAGTACAAAATCGTGATTCAGACTTAATGTTGCTCCTTTTTCATATTCACACACTCGCGAATTTTCGCGATTACAAATCTTTATATTGCTGGAAGATTAAATTAGTAGATTAGTGCATCTACAATTAGTTTGGCTTAGTGAAGTTTTTTTGGACAAAGGGTAATTTAGGAGCTAACTCTACCGATCGATGCACAGACTCCCTCGTGTTTAGGGGGCCAAACTGATGAATGTGGCTCAGCAGACTAAATCGTATGGACTGTCAAGAGCTAAAGGGGGTATGCATTTAAAAGATTGTATAACTATACGTGCGCATTATCGTAGCCAAGCTGTAAATTCATTTTGTTTCATTCATATTTGTCGCATGTTACATCGTGTTGAGCTATAAATCCTTACTTATTCTATCTCAAGCCAACGTTTTATGTCTTATCACTTAGGTACCAATCTGTTAAAAGAGCTTAAAAAACTAGATGACAAAGTTTTGCTTGTTGAAGTTCAACTTCTCGAGAGCCAAATTTATTACCGAGTTGGCAATTTGCAACGCTCCCGAGCTGCTCTCACCTCAGCGCGCACCACTGCCAATGGTATTTACTGCCCACCAAGGCTTCAGGCCTCATTGGATCTTCTTTCAGGTTCGTGGATACCTTAAAACTTAACTGTTTTTATTGAAAGTGGTAATATCCAAACCTAATTAGTATGAATATTTCCTAATTTGGGCCAAGAAAATCTAATATTTTATCCGTTTTTT